CTTTGCATGCATTTTTCATGATAAAAAAAGGCTCTGGACAGCATCTAGAAATGGAAGAGTAAAACAAAAATTTCAAACGAAAACACTTATAAACAGCACAATCATCAGTCCCTCCCCTCAAGCCAGGGTACTAGGTGACATCCTAGACGCCAATCTGTCCTTTGCCCCAGGTCCAATCGCTGACAAACTCATGCAGACTCCACCTCCGCAACATCTCCAAGATACGCCCGTTCCTAACCCTGGAAACAACTAAGCAACTCATTCACTCCCCTATCTCCCGACTTGACTGTTGTAACTCCCTCCTCATTGGCCTACCTCACCGCAGGCTATCCCCACTCCAGTCTATCATGAATACTGCTGCCAGACTCATTCACCTTACTAACCGCTCTGTATCTGCCACCCCTCTCTGCCAATCCCTCCACTGACTTCCAATTGCCCAACGGATAAAATTCAAAACGCTAACACTGACGTATAAAGCCATTCATAACACTGCCCCTAATTACATCACCGACCTTGTCTATAAATACCACCCAAACCGTACTCTCCGCTCCTCGCAAGACCTCCTACTCTCTAGCTCCCTTGTCTCCTCCTCCCATGCTCGTCTCCAGGACTTCTCCAGGGCTTCTCCCATCCTCTGGAACTCCCTACCTCAATCCATCAGACTATCGCCTACTCTGCTCATTTTTAGGCGATCTCTGAAAACCTATCTCTTCAGGGAAGCCTACCCCGCCCTCAGCCAATATTGAAATCCTCTACTCTTCCAACCACTCCATCCCCCACAGTTATTACCTCTTGTTTCACTAGCCCCTCCCTCCTAGATTGTAAGCTCCAAGGAGCAGGGCCCTCCAATCCCTCTTGTATTGAATTGTATTATTACTGTACTGTCTCGTGTACTGTCTCCCACCATAATATAAAGCGCTGAGCAAACTGTCGGCACTATATAAATCCTGTATAATAATAATAAACATGGTTAACCACGTTTACAAGTGTTTTGCTTTTGAAACGCTGATAAAATGTACTCCTGAATGTAAGTTTTCTGCGTTCAAAAAAACTACTGTAAACTCAACTGCCTGTAAACGATGATGTGTACATGGACACATAGGAAAACATTAGGGAGAGTTCAGGGGCTGCTGAAAAAAAAAAAAGCAGAAAAGCTCTTTATCAGTTTATCAGCTGCAGTGTACATGAGCCCTAACATATAAAAATCCCACAAGAAAGAAAGGATACAGCACCTCAATAGCTAATGAACAGGATAGATTTATTGGATTTGTTAACATACACACCTGCAGCAGTTCGCATGAATGGAATGGGGTGCGATTGTGATGCGGTGCGGAATTTGCACAGAAAACGCTGCAAATTCTGCGCCGCATCAATGTGAACCCGGACTCAATGTCAAACAAGAGTATTACACTCAGGGGCGGACTGACAACTCATGGGGCCCCCAGGCAATAGTGGATCATGGGGCCCCTGTGTCCTTGCCCAAACTCAAAAAAGCCTAAATTAGATTATAAAAAGCCAATTAGATTATAAACAACTATAGGTCCGTTCAGAAGCATTCAGAAGCTGGGATATATTCTGTGTTTTCAGCATGAGGTCAAAGAGTTGACAGGCAGCCCATTATAATGGATTACCAAGGGACTTCTCAGCTCTGATACCCAGCTCCATTCATCTTCAAACAAATTTAAGGCCCAAATCTTAATCTTTCTCGAGGAAAATCTGGATATTTACTGTCATTTAAAAATGTAACACATATGGAAGGAGCTCCAGACCAAATGAGAAGAGCGCTCCTTCCATATGTGCACACTTTTTTTCCTTGCCCAAACTCAAAAAAGCCTATGAAAAGGGTACCAGGGGCATCTCACGGGGCCCTCTTCCTACCCCGGGCCCTCGGGCAGTGCCTGAGTTTCCAAATGGTCAGTCCGCCCCTGATTACACTGTTCCATCCATTGTGTTCCCAACATTACATTGAAGATTCATAGTCATGTACCACACTCTTAGGTCTACGCATTTCGAGGAATAAATCTGGACTAGGGTGTATCTCAGTTCCACTCTGGATAGTGCAGTGCTGGATCCCGTTTACATTTTTCCCCTAACAGTGTCTGTGTGATCGCCACAAAATAAAATGAAGCCTTCCCTGTTGGTAAAGCAGATGCCGCATTTTATCCCAGCCTCAACGAGGTGCAATTCACATAAGCCGCCATTAACATGCGGCATAACTGCATGTATGCCCACACTCGAAAACTGTCTCTCTTTAAAATGAGATTTAAAAAAAAAAAAAAAATTGAAGGTTACATAAGATATTTACTCTGCAGAGCAGCAGATGTTGTGGCTCTCTTTTAGCTGTACAGAAGATTGAATAAATAACACAGCAGAAATAAAGAGTCTAGACGTAATCCAAGCATTATTAATACTGAAAGCATACAATGTCTTTTCATTCACGTCATATAAATGCTATGAGCATCAATAACACTTGTGTCTAGTGCGGCCTCCTCTCGAAAATACAACAAAGCATCGTGGCAATGGGAGCATCGCCATATCGCAGGGTAAGAAAAGTCACTGAAAACAACAATATTTTCCCTTCAGTGAAGACTATAAATTAGCGCAATGAGAAAATGACCTCAGGAAGCCGGATGTCATTAGAAGATGACAGCAAGAATCCAGACATTAGGACAAATTCATTATTTTACTGCCTCCAGGGCGGAGGTTATCATCAGAAAGGCCAGATTTATAAACACACATTCTGATGAAGGAACAGAAATGCTTATTTGGAGAACATGGGTTTTTGTTGACCCTGTTTTACCAAGAGACATGAATTATTATACAGGATTTTTATATGGCGCCAACAGTTTGCTCAGCGCTTTACAATATAACGGGAGACAATGCAGTAACAATACAAGAGGGATTTGAGGGCCCTGCTCCTTGGAGCTTACAATCTAGGAGGGAGGGGCTAGTGGTACAAACGATAGTAACTGTGGGGGATGGACTGGTTGGAAGAGTAGAAGATGCCAGTATTGGCTGAGGGCAGGATAAGCTTCCCTGAAGAGATAGGTTTTCAGAGATCGCCTAAAATTGAACTGTAACGGACCGCCTGAGAGCACCTCTATCAGTCCCCCGGTAGAGTCTCCCCAGAGTGTGGAGTCTAAGCTCCGGAGCACTTGTTCACCAGGGCCCCTGATGGTGGGGATGGACTTGGAGCGCTCCGGTACCAGGTTGCAACTACCAGGTATCTCCAACAGGGGTAGAGAAGTCTGACAGGGGCTCCAGAGAGCTAGGAGTCTGATGTAAGGGAGCCTAGTGATCCCTGCGGGGTGGGTGGATGAGCGAAATCAGAGTCGTGCAGGCCGGGTCGGTAACTAGCGGATCGGTAAGGTACACAACGGTAGGCAAAGGACAGTTGGGTCACGCACAGGGTCAATACCAGGAGGTCAGATCTAAATGGGAACATCCAGGAGCAGAGTCAGGCAAGCCAAGGGGTCAGGACGGGAGAAGGCAACAAGGTCAAAACAATCCAGATCAGAAGTACTCACACACAGGTAACAGGATACAAGGCCATTCGGCAACAAGTGTCTGTGCAGGGCTAGTTTAAATAGCCCGCCCTGCACCTGACAGGAGTAGCCTGGGTCCCAGTGCCTGCCTAGTACTGTCCAGACGACGGGTGCGCCTGGGTCCTAGTGCCCTGCCACCTATACATCTCGGCAGACACCTACGCATGTGTAGACCCATGCGTCGCGATGGTTCCTGACATGAGCAGAGTAGGCGATAGTCTGATAAATTGGGGTAGAGAGTTCCAGAGGATGGGGGAAGCTCTGGAGAAGTCCTGGAGACGAGCATGGGAGGAGGAGACAAGGGAGCTAGAGAGTAGGAGGTCTTGCGAGGAGCGGAGAGTACGGTTTGGGTGATAATGAATGACTGTGGTGTCCTTTTATGAGAGAGATCAGCGGTGATGCTGAGGATCGTTGCTGATCTCCGATCATTAGTGGTTTAGGAAACAGAGATGATCAGCGGAGAACATGTTCTCCGCTGATCATCTCAGCACACAGATGGCCAGTGTATGAAGGAGCGATGTCAGCCCTTCTCTGGCGATCTGTGTTCTCCCTCCAGATTCTCCAGCCCAGAGCTGGATAATCGGAGGAACCGCAAACGAAGCAGCAATAATTTACCGCTGCTTAGTAAACAGTGTTTGATCTCTTACTGTAATCTCGCGAGATTATGGTAACAGCAGCCGTTTTCCAGCATTCAAAGCATTTGTAGATCGCTTCTCTCTTCATTCGGAGAAGTGATCTACACAGCTTCATAAAAAGGCATTCAGAGGGAGAACTGTCTCCTCTGAGAATGCCGGAGAACTGAGCAGCGGTCATTTACTGCTGCATGACAAAAGGACACCTAAATGTATCTACATTACCTTCTATGGTGATTGAAGATCCACAGATGTTAAATGACTGTTGCACGCCAATAAAGCTGCCAGTAAGAAACCATGGCCACTTTTGCTCCTCAAGGTTGAATAAGGTGAAAAAAAAAAAAAAACGTGCTTGCACAAAGCTACAGAAACCACTCCAGTTTCATTCTATGTCAGCCATACTGCTAATCGGCATGAATTTGTGGAGGGGGCAGGCAGACACCAGATGCATACTAGATATGTTTTCTTTTTGCGACTGTTGCAAGTGTGACATGTTATATCAGGTGTGTGACTCCACTCCTCCGCTTGGGCGAGATCATGTCCATCTCCCATTTCTTTTTGATGAGACGTCTTGGGTGAACCAGTGGTTGCTGTTGATGTGTTTTTTTTTTTTTTTTTATTGTTTAACCACCTTCCGCCCGCCCTATAGTACAATGACGGGCGCAAGGTGGTTCTCTCGTTCTGATAGGACGTCATATGACGTCCTATCATTCTCACTGTGCATGCAAGGCTCAGGGAGCGCGCAGCGCAGCAATCGCCGGTGCGCTGTGTCCGATAACAGAAAGAGCTGAAGATGTCGGCTCGGTCATGTGATCAGCTGTGTCCAATCACAGCTGATCACATGTAAACACTGAAATGCCGGTTATCGGCATTTCTCTCCTCTCGAGCTGTCACACTGACAGCTCGAGGGGAGAGGAGAGCCGGTAATCGGCTTTCCGCGGAGGGGACATGTACACTGATCATCAGGGCACTAATGATCAGTGTGCCCTGATGATCAGTGTGGCCCCAGAAGTGCCACCTGTCAGTGCTCATCAGTGCCAGGGCCACATATCAGTGCATACCAGTGCACATCAATGCCACATATCAGTGCCCATCTGAGCTGCCTTTCAATGTCACCCATCAGTGCCAGTCAGCGTCACCTATCAATGCCAATCAGTGCCACCTATCAATGCTGCCAATCAGTGCCACCTATCAGTGCCAGTCAGTGTCACCTATCAGTGCGCATCAGTGCCAGTCAGTGCCGCCTATCAGTGCCAGTCAGTGCTGCCTATCAGTGTCATGTATCAGTGCTGCCTTTCAGTGCCCATCAGTGATGCCTGTCAATGCCCATCAGCGCAACCTACCAGTGCCTCCTCATCAGTGCGGCCTATCAGTGCCCATCACTGCAGCCTCATTAGCGCACATCAGTGAAGGAGAAAAATCACTTATTTACTAAATTGTATAACAAAAACTAAGAAAAAACTTTTTTTTTTCAAAATTTTCAGTGGTTTTTGGTTTGTTTAGGAAAAAATAAAACTCCCAGAGGTGATTAAATACCACCAAAAGAAAGCTCTATCTGTCTCAAAAAAATGATAAAAATTTCATATGGGTACAGTGTTGCATGACCGCGCAATTGTCATTCAAAGTGTGACAGCGCTGAAAGCTGGAAATTGACCTGGGCAGGAAGGGGGTATAAGTGCCCTGTAGGCTAGTGGTTAAAGGCATGTTTTGGGCTTTGCTCCTTTCCCCCCCCCCCCCCCATTTCTGTTTACATCTGGATGGGAAAGAAGAAAAAGTAAAAAAGAAAAAAAGCAAGGTATTGTCAAGAAAGTTTTGGATCCTTGTGGTCTCTGTTTGGTTTGATTACTATTTCTGCTATTCTGTCTATTACGGGATCTGCATTTTCACGTTCTATTTATGTGTAATCCTGCTGTTGTAGTATTATTATTATTATTATTATACAGGATTTGTATATTATTATTATTATACAGGATTTATATCGCACCAACAGTTTGCTCAGCGCTTTACAGGGAGAGGAGAGCCTGATCCTTGGAGCTTACAATCTAGTATTGTCATACGGTTCCATTTTCCCTATTATCTTGACAATAAAAGTTGTTTGTATTAAAAAAAAAAAAAAAGATGTTTTTTGTTAAAGCAACACAGATAAAAAATCTTTAATTGGTTATATTTGAAGGTTTGAATGGCTCCAAGTTTCTTTAAAAAATGCTGATCTTCCACTACAATTGATGTTCAGACGTCACTATGTGCCATTAAGTTGGCTCTATACATTGCTGAATGGTCAGAAATATGCCCGACTGGACCATCCAACAATGTCTTCTAAGCCACCCATCAAACAGGGGCACTCTAGTTTCGTGAGTGGGCAGAGGAGAAGGGAGGGGGAGTCTTTACTGGTATTTCTAGTGTCAGGGAACACGGGAAAGGGAAGGTTTTCTATCCCACTGGCAACGGATCATCTCCTGATCCTGGCCAAAAAAAGGCCAACCTGGGGGACAGTCATCCACTGCCTAAGGGCACCTCAGGTGTGATGGACAGCTTAGCTGGACAATACTGAGGGATGGGAGGAGAAAGGTCAAGTGTTCCCTTTCTAGATGAAGTCGATATTTTTACATTATCCTTCCACTTTTTTTTCCTTTTTTTTTTTTAAAGGCCCCTAGGCTTCTTCTATAATATAACCGAAGACAAGTGTGGTCACCTCTAGGCTACTGCTATATTGTGTTTAGATGAGTTGATCAAATTACCCACAGATTTGTGAGAACCCAGCTGATCCACAGCCAAGCAAACAATGAAAAGGTGGAATCCAATTTGCTTTACCATTAAGGCTCCATGTACACTGCAGCTGATAAACTGACTTCAGGAGCTTTTCTGCATTTTTTTTTAAGCAGACCTTGAACTCTCCCTAATGGTTTCCTATGTGTCCATGTACACATCGTCGTTTACAGGCAGTTGAGTTTACAGTTGTTTTTTGAACACAGCTAACTTGCGTTCAGGAATAGATTTTATCAGCATTTCAAACGCCAAATGCTTGTGAACGCAGCTAACTGCGTTTACAAGCGTTTTTTTTTAACTGTTCCATATCCAGATGCTGTCCAGAGCCTTTTTTCATCATCAGAAATGCATGCAAAGCATTTTCCATGTATTCAAATAGACCCGGTACACCAGTGCAGTCAGTTCCAGGTTTTGCGTGAAGGAAAAAATGGTAGAACGTTTCGCATTATGCTTATCATGGGATCCATAGTGAATACAACCAGAGAAGACAGGTCATCTCAACATATACTGCTGTCTCTGCTTCTGCTCTCTCTATTGCCCAATGCATAAAATTCAAACTACTAACATTGACGTACAAAGCCATTCATAACACTGCCCCAAACTACCTCACCGACCTGATACCCAAATACCACCCAACTCGTACTCTTCGCTCCTCACAAGACCTCCTACTCTCCAGTTCCCTAGTCTCCTCCTCCCATGCCCGACACCAGGACTTCTCCAGGTCTTCCCCCATCCTCTGGAACTCACTACCCCAATCCATCAGACTGTCATCTACCCTACTCACCTTTAGGTGCACCCTGAAAACCCATCTCTTCAGGGAAGCCTACCCCGCCCTCACCTAACAGCCGATCTCCTCCACTCCTCCTACCACTCCATCCCCCCCACAGCCATTTCCTACTGTACCACTATCCCCTCCCTCCTAGATTGTAAGCTCCAAGGAGCAGGGCCCTCGAACCCCTTGTGTATTGTATTGTTACTATATTGTCTCATGTACTGTCTCCCACTATAATGTACAGCGCTGAGCAAACTTTTTGGCGCTATATAAATACTGTATAATAATAATAATAATCAGACGGTTTTTAACCTAGGTTCTAGTAGTCAATTTCCATCGTTCAGAAGTGTTTACCAAACGTCCCGTGTACATGGAACCATACACTGCTACGTATGATGCGCATTGTAGACTGTGCTATGACTTGAGCGAGCACAACTGCCATTCAAAAAGTATGCACTTACAACAAGACAGTTGGTTATTGTATGCAATACTTTTTTTATTCTAATTTGCAGTTCATCTTTAATACACATTTTCAGAAGATTAATTCTCATCTTCTGGTTCAAGCAGATAAAACCAATGATGGCATTTATAGTAGCACTACTCCTTTGGTTTGGTACTATGTTTTTTTTTTTTGCAATAGCAGCTGTGACATGTTAGGTTACGGTTTATACCTTGTCTGATCTGTTCCAAGTCATAGATGCCACTTGTCAGTTTAATGCTGATCTAGATAAGTGCAGAGGTTAAAGGCCACACAATGTATGGATTCCTGTGTTATCTGTGCCTGGGAGGGGCAGGTCCCGCATTAGAAAGGAAGGAAGGAGGAGGCAAAGGTGGGGGTGCTTTGAAGACATTCACATGCGGCTCAGTGACACCTAAGCCTATCCATACTGGCAGTCCTCTCCAGAGACTGTTTGTACTCAACTAATCACTGTTAATCCTTTCAAAGTGGTCACATGCTGAAGCTCCACACCACTAGACTGAACACTGGTCAGTCCAGCAGATGTCATACACATACATGGCCACATTGGGACAAAAAGAACTATTGATTTGAGGCGAGATGTTTGTTCTAATGTAATTAAGACTCAACAATACAAAATTTGCACATTGCTACAAAAGATCATTTAATTTTCTAGAAAACCGTTCCTTTTGTTATGCCCCGTACACAGGATGAGAATATCGAACGAACAATCGTCCAGTTTCTTTTCGCCTGCCAGTCTCACATCAAATTGAAAGGTTACTAAAGATACAAAAATTCTCGTATGAAAGAAAATAATTTTGAAACTTATGTCATGTACTTGTATTGTATTTTCGGATAACTACTGTACTGAATAAACGAAAATAGTACGAACTGGTATCATATGAGAACTTTTTTCCGCACTTGTCCCTTTGGATATTATTATACAGTATTTTATAAAGCGCCAACAGTTCGCTCAGCGCTGTACATTACAATGGGGGACAGAACATGCGACAGTACAGTAACAATACAATGTGATACACGAGGGGTTCGAGGGCTCTGCTCCTTCGAGCTTACAATCTAGGATATCGTCGCACGAATTGTCATGATCGGCACTCGAAAGCTGTATACGAACGATCCAATTATCGGACGATCGGTCCTTGTATGAAAATTTTTGGAAAATGTTCTTATCGTGTGTACAGGGCATTCGTGATATAAAAGCTCTTAAACTAATTCCACTATTCATCACATTGTGCAACTGTTCACATCAATGACATCCCTTGTTACAACCTAACTTCAGCCAAAAAGGTTTTCTTTTAGTTTTGAATAGAGTGGTAAAGAATTACAATTTCTGCCAGATTTTAAAGCAGCTGTAAACTTCAGACATGAAATAAGAACAAAGCATATCTGTCTATACAGTGTACTTGCCTCAACGCAGAGCACTAAGTGTCATTTCTGTCTGCTGCCCGGTTCCTCTGCTATCAGCATGTTTTCCTGACACCAAGAGAAAAATGGTGACAGGGGAGGGACATCCAGCAGACTGACAGCCTCAGCTCTGTTCCGGTGTGCTGTTTGAAGGGAGGTGTCTCTCTTCCATCCAATCAGCTCTCAGAGCTCTCCTCACTGACGTAACTTCAGCTCCCTGCCCTCTGCTTTTCAGAGTTGAGAGATCCTGTGTAAATTCTGCACTGTGAATTGATGTAGGGGTAAGAACGATATAGATAAACAGGTACAACTTATGTAGGAGCATGTTTAATCTCTGTGTCACCTGAGGCCAGTCACTTCACTTGCTATATGTGGGCGTTTACAACCACTTTAAGGTCTGTCTGTGAACCCACTGGGAGCACGTTTTCTCACTTCTGGTCCCCCTTTGATGCCTGTACAAGTAATGGAGGGGGCGAACATCACAAAGACAGTAGGAAGCAGACACCAATGAAAGCATTGTCAGCACCCCTACCTGTGTATTTTATCACTGTCCCCTCTAAATGCTTGCAGAGAATTCCCATCACTCCCTTTCATAACTAATCATTTCTTTTACTTAAATTTAATTCCTAGATATTTCTGTCACTTCCACATAAAGATGGGTTTTTTAAGAAAGTTGAACAAAACTTTCCCTCCTCAACGTTTCAGTGTCACTATTAAATGATTGTGTGTACTGATCCATTCCATATACTTTTTCTCACTAAGCTCTGGGTAGAACTCAGGAATGCATGCAAGCTACATGATCTAACCAAATCAGGCACCCACCGTTGTGCTAGTAAAGCTGGACAAATTCCAGATAGCCAATGAGCCTACAAAATAAAGGCTTTCATGTTTTTAAAACTCCTTTTATTGTAGTCAA